AGAGTGTGGCAGCCACAACCATCAGCAACAGTTCAGAATGCTTGCAGCAGCCACGCTGATCATCAAATATCCATCAACTCAAGTTACTCCGGGTGGATGGGAGGGGACGAGAAGCCTGAGGGCCAGGTACACAGGTTAGGCCCGAGCGATTCAACACTTTGCATTCCTCCACACTGTGTCCTTTGAAGGTGGAATGTTTAGAACAGGCCTTCCCAAGGCGTGACACTTTGGTATATGGAGTATTTTGAGCTGAGGTCAATGGAGACTCTGTAGGTTCAGAGAAAGCTTCCACCACCCCCTTAACTACCTAGAAGGATGCGAAGTGGGATCTTATCCAGAACTGGGATTACTAGAACGAGAATCGAAGAAGAGGTGTCTTACCTGCAGTTAGGGCTTTTACCAGACGTGTGTCTATGTGGCTGGGCCCACATGCCACTACAAGCTCTGGGCTTTGCCATTTGAGCACCCTCTTCTAGTCATAGGAGACCCTCCTCCTGGAAGTCCCAGACTCCATCCCACTCCTTAGTTCAGGACACAAACCCTCGTTTTGCCTGACTCACCATATAGATAGGCTTATCTGATAGGAAGGTTAGTTCTTTTAGAAATCCTAATTCTGGGTAATAGCTCCACTTTTCCTTCACACAGGAGCAAGTAGTAGAACCCAGACTGAAACCTGGGCAGGCTGGTTCCAACTCCCAACCTTCCCGCATCCATCAGGAGTGTATGCAGGTTTCACTGAAGGGTGGCGTGTCCTCGGACTGAAGTCTGTATTTTGCCAACTATGTCAGGAGTCACGGTGGAGACGAGTTAACTGGCTCTGTGTTTCTGATTGATTCCCGTGATCTGTTAGCACCTTTATAGATTGGGAACTGGGACGGCTGCCCAGTTCTTCTGCCCCTGAATCCAGCCCTGCTGGACTCCGAGTGTCCCCGATCACGGCCTGTCAGGGAGGAAGCATCGTCAGTGTCCGAGCCAAGAAAAGCTACTGGCGGCTGTTCCCCAAGCTTTTAGTTCCTGCACACACACTGCCTCCTGAGCCTCTGCAAGAGAAAACAGTGCCTTCAAGCATCCTGTGTAATGCCCAGTCTCCCCGATGAGGAAGAGGTGACTCCTGCAAGCAAAGGCCTGCGTGCTCCCTCCTAACTCCAGAGGTAAAGGTGTTCACTAATTACCTTCATCTGCAAAGACCACGTCTCTCGAGCTACGTGCCCTCAGCAGGACTTTGCTAAAACCTGCTGCAGGTTAAAAAGCAGACCTGCTTTTAATTTATTAAAAGACCTGGCATTTTTCCCCCCACTGAGCATTTTAAAATGCAATTAGACAAAATGGAATAATAATCAGGCAAAAGTACTGAGGGGTTTTCACAGAGAGGGCTGTCCTCTCTCGGGCTCCTGTCCATTTCTGGGCCTTTCTGCTGGGACAATGCGCTCTGGCACTGACACCGAGGCCACCCCTCCCTTCCTGCCTCCTCCTTCTGGAAGACCCTGCTTGAGAAATCAACCACCGGCACCTCTCAAAACCCTCCTGTGACCCTGGTTCATCACCCTAATAATAATAGCCTCACGCCGTGCGATGATCTGATGATCCGTCTCCTTGTCTGGGATATTTTTATCAAATTTTCCTCAGGGTCCGGTGAATACTTTTAAACAAGATCCCTGGGTCATTGCTGGGTGCAGCGAGAGTGAGAGGAGATGCTGCTCACACCCACCTTTTCACCCTGGCCCGCCTCACACCCACACAAGTCCAGGGCATGGAGGTGTCAAGGAAGAGGACTATTTCCCCACACCCTCTGGGCTGGTCATGCAGTCACATCAACATTAGTCAGATTAGTGGGAGGGGGAAAAAAAGCCATGGAACTAGGTATACATGGAGACTATGCTTAGACCTGATCTCCAAGCACAGTGAAGAAAATGGGGTGTGTCTCCTGAGCTGAGGAGTGGACTAAGAGCCCGGGGCTTCAAGGCAAGAGCAGGGGACTTGCAGTGCTGACCACATGCTCTTGTTGGCCAGATTTATATGATAGGTTTCTCTAAAAGCAAGTTTATTTCTGGTAAAAATCCTAATTCTGGGCACGATTCCACTTTGCGTTCTTCCGGGGAGTTCAGGGAGTGGTGAGAGTTCCCGGTGACCCACAGGGCTCCATAGTCCTCAGGTGCCTCATGTGATCCATGTGCCAGAGTGACACGTGGGGGGGGTCCCTGTTCTTCAGAAGCATCCAAAGAATATTTGTTGAAGGAATGAAGGAAATTGATGAAACATGCTAGTGGTTTTGTAACAGGGTGGTCCCCAGGAAAAGGGGAGGTTCCCTGCCCCACCCAAGGGAGGGTGGAGCTGAGCAGGAAGAGGAGAAGCTGCAGAAGAGACTGAGGAAGGAAGGAAGCAGGATGGAGCCAGGAGACCTGGAGGAGGCGCGTGGAGCCTAGAGACACGTGAAGAAACTGCGCTTGTCTTTTGGTCGTGGACGGGGTGACACAGATGTGGGTGAGACCCGTGGAGAGGTGACAATGGCAGCTTTTATCTTGATGTTGATTTTGCTCTTTTCCTTCCGGGCTTGTCTGGTTGTTTCTGGCCCTTTTCTGTGGGTCCCACTGGAAGATGCTTTAGACTTGTGGCAGGCTTTGGGGCCTTGCTCTGGGCCAATCCCATATGGATGGACTTTTACCCACGAGGGGACCAGTAACTTTGGGTGCTTCATTTAGAAACTGGACTCTTTGCCTTACCTGTGTTGTTTCCTAGTTTTATTAAAGATCCTTCCCATTAAAGTCTCATATGTTTTGTGTTGATGCGGCGGATGGCAGAACCCATTTAGAATGGGCAGGTTTGCGGGGCTTGGGCTGCCCCTCTCCCTGTCCTATAACAGATTCATGGAAAAAAACAAGATGGAGCAATCCTACCTCTCTCGCCAATGACAGGGACAAGAAAATGACAACGAGCTGATGGCAGGAACTTCATGTTCCTACATTGTCAGTGCAGCCAGATCCAATGGTGAGAAACACGCATTGTGTGAAGAGAAACCTCACACCAGCCAAGGTCACTGGCCCATTACCACTGGCATAACCAGAAGGGAGACCAGAAGGGAGACTTAGACAGGGAGTGTCCTAAGGACCTGGCACCTTTGCCACAATTTCCTAAAGAGACAAAGTTATGTGGATTCTTTGATATTTAAATCCCCCAGATGGTGCCCCAGCCTCCTGGACCTATCCCCAGGCTGGGTCAAGTGCCCCTCACGTACCCATAGAATTGTCCCTGCGGTTATATTAAGTGTGCCCATGCGCCCTCCTACTTGGGGGAGAGCTTGGTTGCAGGATCTCTACAGCATTTGCCCCTCGTCCCCAGGGTGTGCGCTGGAGTCAGTTCACTCTTAATAGGCGCTTTACAAATGTTTGCTGAATCCATCCATCCGTCAGTCAATGTGGATTTCAGTAATTACAACTGTTTTCATTGCACTGGGATTTGTTAATAGGAGAGCAATGAGTTCAAGATCATTGCGAGCCTCAGAAGGAAACCTCTTCTCATTTTACCAGCTTCTAACTGCCCTGTTCCCTTCCCCGCCCCAGCTCTTGCCTTATGATTTAATGGGCATCTAATCAAATGCACCCTTGTCTCTAAAAAGAAACTAGCCAGCTTGAAAGGGCTTGCACTGAATTTTTTATCCAATCAGGGCACTTCATGCTGAGAGGAAGGACCGGCTTTGGATACTGGCCAGATTAAATTTCCATTCAAATTCTCTTTCTCTTCCCAATGCTTCTCTTTCTCCTTCCCTCCCTCTCTCATTTCCTGCTTCCTTCCATCTGAATTGTTGCTCTACTCCTCTCCCCCCCCCCCCCGCCTCCCCCCCCCCAGGTCTGCCATCAAAGCAGAAAGGCATTCTCTGTCATGGGCTGACACACCAGAGCAACCAACTGCTCCAAGTTTAACTTTCAACGAATGAAAAGAGAAACAATCACCTCAGTGGCTTGCATGGGTTTCCTGCCACCTAGAATCTGGCTCCCCCATGAAGCTCTCCCCTGCAGACTCACCAGTTTACTGTCTCTAGCCTAAGGGAACAAGCCTTGCACATGGGCTTGCGAATCAGACTCTCCTCCAGCTCCGCTGGCACCCATGTGCCCATCTGGCCTTGTTCAGCCACCAACAGGGCCTGCTTCCCAGCCGAGCCTTGCTCATGCCCTGTGCAGTTGCAGCCAAAAGTTCTCCAAGCTGAGGTCTTGGCACTCAGCCAGTCGACAATTCAAACATGCTAGGAATTGGAGAGGCACTCCTGGATTTTTATTTCCGAGGAGGAGAGAGGCTAGATTCTCTTTTGCCATGACCGTTGTTCCCGCATTCGCTGACAAATGCTCCCTGAGCGTCACGGCCACGCCAGGCGAAGAGCAGCCCACGGTGTGTTTGCAAGCTGCCCGGCTTCATGCACAGAAGCAGCGGGAGCTGGTATCGCAGGCAGTTCTCACCAGGAACATCACCCCTACCCAGGCAGACCCTGAGGCGCAGAGCATGGTTCAAAGACTGTCCCTTATGGTGACCTCGTAGCTCCAGAGTCTGGATGGTTGCCCAGGAGTCCCTGTCCTTCTGGCCTTGTTCTCATTATCCTTTCCTAGTTCTCTGCAACCCCAACCCCAAACCCTCCCCCCCAGGCTGGACCTGAATGGTCAACTCTGTGCAGCGGCTCTTGCCAGCCCGTCCCGTGTCCTCACAGGGGTGGAGCCCCAATAGTCTCCACAGCCAGAAGCAGAGGCCATTCCTCCCGGGCACTGCATCCAGGAAACACACCAGCTTGCCTCTTCCATCTCACACTTCATCCTGCTCTGATTGGCCAAAGGCCCCCTCCTCCATGAGGGGTGACAGAGGGAATGGACTCGGCGCATGAATGGCGGAGACCAGGGCAGGGCTGCCAGAAAAGACACAGAGCATTTATTCCAAATATTTGGGACACACTTCAGTAGACTTAAAATTGCTCATCATTCGAAGTCCAATTTGACTGAGCACCCAGCAACCCGGTTTCTAGCGCTGGCAACCTTGACAGCTCAGAACCAGGAGGGTATTTGACTTTCACCAATGAATCCCACATGGATTTGAAATGCCAATAACTGGGGTCAGTTGAGGAGCGCTTACTGTGGCTCACAACACAGGAGAGAGGCAGCAACTGCCCTGAACCACACTCTCCACCTGCGCGGGGCCTGGTTCTGTGGGACTGGTTACCGGGGTGGTAGTAGTGGCGGGAGGAACACGCGTGTTTCGGGCAGGGCCGCATGGGCGTGCGTGAGGGACGGCATGCTTCTTCTAAGCAGTGTGTCTCATAAACACTCAAGATTCTACTCAGCACGCTGCTGAGTCCTCGGTGACTCCTAGTTCAGGTCCTCCGCCACCTCCCTCTATGTGGCCATTAGCTCCAGCTGGTTCTGGAGCAGTTGCCCAGGGAAGCGGGTCTGTTTCCTCCTGGTGACTGGCTAGTGGGGCTTCTCAACCTAGGGGCTCAATAATTGGCAAGTCGGGGCCTCCCTGGTGGTGCAGGTGTTAAGGACAGCACTATCGAGCTATCACCAGCCACTGCAGTATGAGTTCAATCCCCAGCCAGCCAGGGAGCTACTCACATGGCGCAGCAGACCTCTCCTGCCTCCCGCTGCTCCCCTCAGCAGTGTATTTCAGTTGATCCACCTGTTCTGTTCCCCACTCTGTCTCTGGTGAATCCTCTCACCCACTCACCTCTGGCTTACACCCCAGTTCTTGTATCCATAAATAAATAAATCTTAAAAAAAATTGGCAAGTCAGATGAGCCGTCCAGGCCCAGGAAACCCTGCCCTACTACCGGGAAGTCCACTCCACTTTAGTGAGACAACGCCTCACTTCCTGCCATCACCACCTACCCGGGTCAGCTGGTGTGGTCGCTGCTGGAAACTGGGGCCAGGAAGATGCTTTTCAGAAGAGGAAATACCCCTTTGAGGCAAGACTTGTATATTGGGACCTCCACATGGTTATACAAATGTTATCCAGGTAAAACCCCCAGAGAAGGCGTGACCTGATTCTCTCCTCCCCAGCCATGTCTGTGGACTATTTTGGGATGACAGGGGACTGCTTTTTCTTCCCTCAGCTGGCTGGGGTTTTCCTGGGTGTTAGTTTGCTAGGGCTTTCTTAATATGTGCCAAGTGGTAAGATGATAGAAATGACTCGTCTCGCCATTCTGCCGGCTAGAAGGCTGAGATCAAGATGTCGGCTAGTTGATGTTTCTGAGGGCTGTGAGGAAGAAACTGCTTCCAAGCCTCTCCCCAGCTTCTAGCATTTGCCGGCCACCTCTGGGGAAAGCTCACTCCCACATCTGCCTTCCTCTTCACGTGCTGCTCTCCTGGTGTGTGTCTCTGTGTCCAAATTTTCCCTTTTTATGTGTCTAATCTGACGCGAGTCAGAATAGATTAGGGTCCACCCTACAGACCTCATTTTAATTTGATCTCAGCTGTAAAGACCCTGTTTCCAAATAAGGCCACTTCTGAGCTCTTGGGAGTTAAGGCGGCATTGTGTCTTCTTTGGGGGGGACATAATCCACCCCAAAACAATGAGCCTTCATGTCGTTCCTATTTGCATTCATTCAGAAAAGAAGAGAATATCCTAATTCCAGGCAGAGTTTTGGCCCCTTTGCTGGCTCTGCGTTGATAATGATTTAAGGCCTTGGAGTAATGGAAGATAAACTGCTTGTCGCTGCCCACTCTGTGTTCCAGGAGATTGCATTTCTGTGTGAGGCCCGCCCAGCACTGCCGGCAAAGGGCTTTTCCATTATGTTAAGAGCTGGTGATGATAGCTGCCATTAATATTCAGCCCTTTGGCCTCCACCCTTTCCCACTGCCTCAGCCGGAAGCACTTCCCTGTGACCCTCCCTGAGGTAACATCAGGACTATTTCCCCCAAGAGACCTTTGCAATTACTTGCCTGCAGCAAGGGGACTGCAGTGCTTTGCTTAGAGTGTTCAAGGCAGGCGCGTGTGGGAGGGGAAGGTCCCTTCTTGCCGTCTGTGCTCAGGGCCCTGCCCCTTCCAATCCAATATTAGAATAAAGCCTCAGCATTTTCCCCTCCTCCGGCAGATGCTGGGAGAACAAGATAAAATTCCTCATGGGCTTGGGCCCTAAATTCTCAATTATTTATTAAGAAATGACACCGTTTTCCCCTCGGCCGGCTTTCCTGGGCACCGGCCGCGGCTACAGCAAGAAAGGCTAGGCCGGGAAGAACCACTTTGGGCCGCGGGTTTTTTTTTTTTTTTTTTTTTTTTTGTGGCTCTCAATTGTCTATATCACCAGGGAGAATGTTCTTTTGAAGCCTGTCCAGGAAACTTGGTTCTAAGAACAGCCTGCTAATTTGAGCTTCTTCTGGGCTGCCCGGCCATGAAACTGGCATCTGGCATCCCAAACAAGCAGCCCCAGAGCAGAAAGCGCTTGTCTGTCTGCGAGTGCAGCCCCCACCAAGAACCACAGTCTGAAGCAACAGGAGTTCACTTCATCACAGTTCTGGAGGCTTCAAGTCTCACATCAGGGTGCCAGCACCTATGGTTTCTTCTGAGGCCTCACTCCTTGGCTTCAGGAGGGCCGCCTTCGTCCCGTGTCCACACGTCATGGGTCCTGTGTGGCTTGGTCCTCATCTCATCCCCTTAGGTGGAGACCAGTCAGATGGAGTAGAGTCCAGCCAGTGAGTGCACGGGACCTTAGTCACCTCTGTGAAAACCCTGCTGCCAAACACGGTCACAATCAGGGACATTGGGGTGAAGACTCAACATGGGGATCCAGGCACCCCAACCCCTGCACCTTCATGGAAATCCCCCCACTAAGACTTGGTGGCTGAGGATGGTGAACCTGAGTCCTGGAGAACAGCCCCCCTGCCAGGGCCCCTTTGTGCTAAGGCCCGAGGAGGAGGAATCCTGAGTCTTGGCCCAGTGATGGGAGTTAGGGATGAGGATGCACCATCTTCCGAGACCACCCTGGGCTGGAAGAAATGATTCCTCAAGAGAAAATAGGCAGCTGTTAAGAGAGGGGATAGATGGTAGAAGAACAAAACAATGACAAACATCTGTCCCATAACCCTATCCTTGCTTTAAAAAAAAAGGCCTGGCAGGGACAACCTCTATGCTCTGTCTTCATTGAACACTGATAGAAGGTGCCCGCCACTTCTTTCTTGATTTCTTCTCCACCCTTCTCCAGATGGGGGCCAGGATTCCCACTCTGGATTCCTTGTTGCCCGTGGTGCCACGCTGGCCTTTGGCTGCTCCCCACAGCTTCCCCCTGCAGAGACCTTGGCCTCTGTTTGTTCAGGAAGGTCACCAGGCTGGGCTGCTTTAAAAAAGCAGAGTGAGCAGCTTTCTGCTGTGAGTTCATTTGTGAATGTCTTCTTGGTGATTTGTGCTGGTAGTAAATACTATCTTCATTATAAACAATAATTCCCCTGCCATTCTTTCTCTGGTCCTCAGTTACCTCGTCTATAGAACAAGAGGGTTGAATTAAATGATTATTAACATCTCTTTCAGTTCTGGCTCTGTGGGATTCCATGAAAATTAAACTCCTTGGGTTAGGTAGTCTGCAGGGTTGACTTTGTGGCGTCCCTCAAGAACTTGGAAATGGGAAATACAATTTCCCTCTGAGAGAAAAATTACAAAACCAGCCGGCACCAGATCAAAGAAGATATATTCAAGTTTCCTTAAATGGACAGGATGGATTTCAGACTAGAGCAGTCTAAATTGATAGCGTGGCATCCCCAGGGACAGAATGGCCGGCCGTCAGAGAGGGAGGAAGCATCAAGGACGGTCAAAACGGAGGCTAACGATGTGAGATTATCAGGGTTACTTCAAGATTTCATAAAGATGAGGCTAGAGTAAGGGGTGGCCCCAGACATTTGAAATCTGGGGCTCCTTGTGGCTCCCCACAATGGAAGTGGGGAGGGCCTTCCAATGTCATGGCTGGAGATCCCTCACAGGGATGACGGGCCGTGTTGTTAACAACCCTTGTAGCCCAGGCACCAACCAGCAGGAAGGTCTTCAGTCACAGCCAAGCAGGGACCTAGGGCCCCTGCTGTGCCCAGCCTTTCCCCTCTCGTGGGTGGGATGTCTGGGGTTCTTGGTATGGGAAGGGCAGCAAGTAAGAACATCTAGGAAGCGCAGGGCAGAAGCTACTTACCAATCAGATTGGAATTACTTTGCTATGTTAGCAACTTACCTGTTCAAATGATACAAGCCATCCTCTGTCTGATTCCAGGTCTGTCTGATGGCCGTAGCTTCTACCTCCAGGGGAGGGATGAGGGTGACAGTTGTAAAGTGTCTGTATTCTTCAAGATAAACAGACTTTCAGTTTCCTCAGGCCCTGGGCGCCTGATCATGTTGATCAATGTGAATTCATCCCTGAGGCAGAAATCCACCACCCACTCAGTGCCACATGGCAAATGACAAGGACTGGACTTGCCCAGAGAAACCCTGCTTGGGAGCAGCCCACCAGCCCCTTCAGATGCAGACTCACTGGCCCAAGGGTCCCTTCAGGATAACTCCATGGGCTCTCCAGTTGGATTTCCACAGTATGTGAACATTTAACTGTAGACAGGTCTGCAAGATGCACTGTGTGTGTGTGTGTGTGTGTGTGTATTTTACTAACACTACTTTTACTACTCTTATTTTCAAACAAAATCTCACAAGGGTCACCAGGCTCTTATAAGCATACCTGTATATCAGGCATTGCTACTGGGGTGTGTTACTTGGCACCCCAACTTTAAGATACTCAAATAGTATTTTTTTATGTTTTTTTTTAAATTGAGGTAACATTGGTTTACAACACTATATATGATTTAGGGGTTCAGATTCACACCTCTTCAGATGTGTGTCACCACAGCACCCCCACTCCCCAGGTACACATCACCCTCTTCTGCTCTACACCCGCTCCTCCACGGTTCAGGCCAAAACCCTAAAGTCCTTTCCAGCTCCTCTCTGCACAAATTCCTGCTTCCGCTCAGAATATGTAGATCCCATCACTTCATGCCAGGGCCCTGCACCTGAAGCCTGGTTCCCAACACCACCCTGCTCACCTGGATTATGGCAGTAGCCTTGCAAGGGGCCTTCTGCATCTGTGTGCTGAGAAGTTCCATCTAATGTAGACAGGTTGTGATTTTCCCCTATTTAAAGTGTCCCAAGGTTTCCCATCCCTCTAGGTTACAATTCGGACTCCTCTCTTTGGTCTCCCAGCCCCTCCCTGGCTGGCTTCGGTACCTCGCAGACTGAACCGCACTCCCTCAGCTCTCTTGGCTCCAGATACACAGGACTTATTGTTGATCCTCACACATGCCAAGCTTGTGCACTGCTTTGCATTCCCTGTTGCCCCTGCTTAGAACCACGGGTGCCCTTGACTTTGAATGGCTCACTTCCTCACGCCAATCAAGTCTTTGTCCAAAGGAGACCTCAGGGTGGCCTACCCTCACCACCTTTTTAAAAAAAGCCTGCCTCACGTTTACTCTGCAGCTCCTCAGTGCTGTGGGGCGACTCCCAGGGCCCCCTCAGGACTGAGAGGCGCTCTTTGCCTTCGCTGTTGGGAGTGTTGGCTGCCAACAGCTCACTTTACAGGCATCACTTTTGCCCAAGGATGTTGCTTCACCCATGTTTATGCCACTCCCAGGAGGTGGCCTGCCTCCGGTGGTGCAGGGGCACACTGCTCTGCGCTTTGGCCGCAACGGACCTCTCTTTGTTGGGGGAACCAAATGCAGCCCCGATAGGACTGGATGAGGCTTTTGCTGCAAAAACATCACAGTTCAGCTTCCTCTCCGTCCAGCCTGCACCTCTCAACCCTCACATGTGCAGTTCCCCGCAAACCTGCAAATCTCAATCTCAGAGTCTCCTCCACATGGAGCCTGACTGGGGACCACTACCTAAAGGTTGCTGGTCTATTTCCTGCCCCCCAACTAAGACTTAAGTTCCATGAGGGCAGGATTTGTCTGTCGTTTTCACCTGTTTCCTACCCCACAGGCTCTATGTGGTGCCTGGCATACAGTGAGAGCTCAATATTGTACTATGGACAAGTTACATACTGAATAAGTGACTGAAGAAATGAACAGACATAACCGCAGTATTCATCATAAAGGTGAAACTGCCTTTTTGAAACGGGAGAGTGTGGGGGAGATAGAAAGCGCTCCCTCTGTCACCACCCCACCCCTTGGAGCACCTGAGGCACCTCGCATTACCCTGGCAGAGCTGATTTTAGAATCAGGAAATCAAGCATCATGGGCAGGCACTGTCACTAGGAAGGCCTTCCATGTGTCCTCAAGTCAGGACTTGATGCTGTGGCTCCAGCTAAGAGAACGAGCCCCACACTTGCTCAGGGGAGAGAAGCTGGGATGGGAGCAAGAACTAGCCTGTGTCCCTAGGGCAGTGATAAATCCAAGAGATCTAGAGAAGGTTCTAGGGGACCTAGTTAAATCTGGGACTAGGGAGAGGACTGAGACTCTGCAACCCCAAGTCAGGGGTGATGCCTTTTGGGGACAGTTTCTGGAAGGGAGACTGCTCAGGACGTGCCCTGGGGCTAGTCCTGCCGGCCTTATGGGAGCCAGCTAACTCTGGTAGAATGCCCAGGAAGTCAGGTCTCTGGGCAATTCATTTTTTTTCTGAACCTTAATGGTGGAGGGAAGCAAAAGCCTGCCACCCCAAAATACATATTTTTGGCAAAAGGTTGAATTCGTGGGAACAGCCATGAAGACAGGATGGAGATTGCTTTTGAAAAAAACCGGTATGTGGAAACTTCTCTCTGTAAAGGCCTCTCCGTCACTGTATCAGGAAGACTTAATCTTCTTATCTCTTTTCTGTGGAGAAGCAGAACTCAATCTGCACACCTTTGTCCACTGTGCCTTCCCCGCTAAGCGCCCTCACTGACCTGCCTCCCCCCACAAAGTCCTTGTCTTACCTGAGCTATTTAAGATGGTGTCTGAAGCCAGGTGGGGGCGTTACTCAGTCGTCTTGGGTCTCTCCCATATATACAGGAGGGATACAAGTTTTTAAACTTCTTTTTGACTTTTTCTCTTCTTAATCTGCTAGATGCTTCTTTGCCAGCCTAGAAGAAATCAGAGGTGCAGGGGATGATCTCCTTTGCGCCCTGACAATTCGCTGGCTCTTCTGCTTCCAGTCCTGGAATTCCTTGGGATGTTCACTGCGTCATTGCTACAAGGACGTGAGGCCCATTTCTGGGTGAAGAAGGAGACAGATGATTCTGTGCACATCTCTGTTGCCTGTTTATGCTCTAGCAGTCTCCTCCCAATCGCTGCCACATCTGACTGATTTTTCCTTCCTCCTAATATGCATTTTGACAAAAAGGGGGAACAAAAAAGGGGTAATAAAAACTTTTAACTTCTCGCCTGGGCAGAAACACTCTGAGTTGGAGTTAGTGAATGCCGGGAGTACTTCCCCCTGAAACGGCAGCAGAAAGGCAGCCAGGGATGTTGGCAACCCCCTGCTGGATGGAGCCTTCCAGCCCCAAAGGGGGTTAGCAGCTCTGCTCTCGCTGGCCTTAGGGGGAGAGAGAGTTCCAGGGCGGTCTCAGGCAGAACTAGCTGTTACAGTAGCTCATTTCCTCCAGAAGCAGCCAGAACAAATTCCACTGCTGGGTTCCTAGGACAGATTCCAGGATTATCTAGCCATTTTCCCTCCTTGGAAGTCCTCTCACAAAACACAAAGGAAAGTTATGCACAGTCCACGTGGCCAAGGTCCAGCGGCCTCTGGACAGCCCGGACATGGCACAGCAGCCTGGCTGGCTCACCACATGCTCCCTGAGGGAGGGCCAGTCCTGGCTCCCTAAATTGGTCAATGTTGTCCTGGAGGCGGGAATGTCTATGAAGGACAAAGAGCAAGAGAAAGTGCATCAGTGTCCGGGAACAAGCCAGGGAAGTGAATCCTCCCTTAGACCTGGAGGCCACACACCCAGCCTGGTGGAAAATGCCCGTGAAGACCTCAGGGACACAGCCCACTGACCTGAGTGTAAGTAGTGCCGGCTGGAGCCCCCATAATGGCGACCTCAGAGCAAAAGTCCTCAGAGAAAATCAATTAACGCCTTGTGTCTGCCATGGCTAAGTTGTTTCATGATATTCTCATCTCTATACTGAAGAACTATACTGGCACATTGTGTCTTCATTATGTACAGGACAAGCCCCAGGCTCCATTCTTGGCCCTGGAACTTATTGAGTTGGGGGCCTTGGTAACATTGGTCAAGTCTCTTTACTCCCCCCTTTTTTTTCAATTAATTTTTTTTTTTTTTAAATTTCTAAGTGCTCCATTGGTAGGTAATGATGTACGAATGACAATTACCACCATTACTCTTGGATGCTTATGTTAGGCCAGGCTTTGCTTTAGGAGCTACGAGAATAGCGGTCAACTAGCTGACAAAAAGTGACTGATCATGGAGTTTGGGGCTAATGTTCTTCAGAAGGGAAATATCAGCTGTGCTACCACTGAGGGCACTAAGATTGAGAAATTTAAGTTATGATGTGTAACATACTTGCCCTGATGTGTCTGTTATTACGCCACTGCCTCTTAGCTCGGGCCTTCCCTTGGGTCCTTTGCTTTGTGCTGCTGGAGGGGGACTCCCAGCCTTGTGCCCCCATATCCACTTTCTCCCGATGCTGCTTTGGTAGGTTCTACCAACAGGGGGCGCTGAGCCCCAGGGATGAATCACAAGAGGTCTATGCCAGTCCCCTCTCTCCCTTTGCCAACAACTGGGCATGCGACTCGTTCTGGCCAAGGAGACAGAAAGCAGGCAAATATGGAGCAAAGGGAAGTCTTCCCCTGGAAGGAGAAAGCTAGGACCCTACCCGACCCTCTAGTGTGACGCTCCTGCAGCCATCTTGGGATCCTGGGATGACCTTAGTGAGCATGAAAAGCCGACAGCAAAGGTCTGCAAAGCCAAGGGCTGGAGAGAGCCAGGATCCCGCCACAGTCTAGACTCTTGTCCACACGCTTCTCCTATGGGAACTACTGTTTTTATTGCTTATGCCACTCGGAGTAATGGGTATTCTGCTGTGCGCAGCCAAAGCATTCCCAACGGATACAAAAATAGCCAGTTCTCACAGACACATTGCCAAGGTCCCCTCCTCCATGCCTGCGCAGCCCTCGACCCTGCCCCTGCCGGCTGCCCCCCACCAAAGGAAGTCCCTGACCTGACAGCTCTGGCCACAGGCTCGCTGTGCTTGGGTGGGTGGGGGGTGGCTCTGAAATCCCCCACACACTGTGTTGGCTGAGTCGGGGCTCCAGCACGTCTTCAGACCAAGCAGGCACATAAATAAAAGGCCTTATGCTTTATAGGCTAGTCAATATTTATTCAGCCCCAACAGAGCAGTGGCCTGGAAGGAACAGAGAGACTATAAAACGTCTTCTGTGCTGGAGCTTGCAATCGTACTGGAGGAGAGAGGCGCACTGCTATAAAACAGCCGTGAGCGCAGCAGCGCTGGGGGGCCAGCGTGGAAAGGCGCAGGGGCAGCCGAGTAACAGAGGACAGAGATGGGCCGGCCGCGGACACTGGACACAGCCAGGCATTCCTGCAGCTGTAAGCTGGGATCGGGGTGGCCAGTCTGAAATGCAGACACCAGCTCTGTCTCTGGGGACCACTCCTCTCTTAGAGGTGTGGTGGGGAAACCCACCTTTGAAGGGTGGCAGCTGTGGGGTTGTTATAAAGTCCTTTGGAGGGGCGTCTGTGTGTGCTGGCAGACACCCACTGTACATCATCCAGAAAAGAAAAAATCTATGCCACTTAAAATGCTTCTCTTCTTGGCTTAGCTGTCAACGTTTAGAACCACATGAAACAACCAAGTGTTAGAATCTGTTCCACGTAGGCGTCTGGGCCTCTCTCTCTTTTGCTTTCCTGAGGTCCCCTCACCCCTGCTCTGCCCACCAGGTGACACTTGCCTTATTCTGTGGGTTTTGCCACACTCATCTGCTCTCTGCGTCCTTCCTGTCTCCTCCTTCCCGTCCTTGCCCTTCCTCACAGCATTAACACGGCCGTTTTCGTCGGGCAAGTTGGATGATTCTCTTCTCTACTTAAAAATTTCAGAGCTCTGAATCAGCCCCCGAATCTGTTGCCTGATATTTTAAAGCCTTCCCCTCTCTGTCCTCAAGTGTTCGGCCTTATCTTGATCTCCCCCACGCGCAAGGTGTGCTCAGCAGGGATGGGTCTGCAAACCACGAGGTTTCGCCTCTCCCCGCATGCTCTCCCTTCCGGGCTGGCTGCTCCTCACCACTAGGAACAATCTCATCGAAGCCACCACAGCTCAGCTGAAATGCCTCCTTGGTTTCCTTCAATCCCTGCTTTTCTCTTCTGCTTTTCTGATGGGGAGAGAGCTTTCCTGCCTTGGTAGTAATGCGGAAATTTATAGTCATGGCACAAGAACCTCTGCAGTCTCTGCTTTGTGTATGATTTTCTCCCCTTTCTCTGACACAATAGCCCAGTGGTGCTCGACCAGCTGGCAATTCCCCAGCGCCCCTTGGACACACTTACCTTGTCTGGAGACATCCTTGGCTGTTACACTCTGGGGGTGCAACTGGCAGCTAGTGCGTGGAGGCAAGGACGCTGCTGTCACATCCTCCACTGCACGGGCAGCCCCCCACAATGAGGAATGTTTCAGCCCAAGGTGTCAACCCTCTATTCGATCCTCAGATTCCTGCGGGCAGAAGCCACATGTCCTATTCTTTTAATACCTCGGAGCACCCAGCTTTGAAATATAATTTGTTCAGTTATTTTAAGGGAGTGATTATAAATATTTACACATTTACAAAAGATGTATTCAGTTGTTTCTTTGTGGACCTGTGTCTAAATGCCTATTGCCCGAGCAGTGATCTTGCACCCACATCAGCCGCACCACAGCCCCATGAGCCCGCGCATGCACCACCTCGGAGGCCCTTGACCGAGGCAGCCCTGGGTCACCCACGTTCTCCACGGCTCCCTGCGCTGCTGGAGCCCATGCAGCAGCCCGGCTCACATCCCCTCCGCTCCTCGGAGACGTTCCTTCACGAGGCCTGGCTCGAGCGTGTCCTGCCTTCTGACCTGCCAGTGCGCCCGTCCATGTGTCTCGCTGGGATGTGTTTCTGACCCCCCTGGGGGCCTTTCGCCAGCACTATCTCACACTCACCTCGCAGGAAGGTGACTTCCTTCATTTCCCAATCGAACAGAGTAAATTTTGCTGTTATTTGATGTCCTTTATCCAAGGACCTATGTGATGAATTCCTACCTAAGTTTAATTCCAGGAAAACATTTTATCTCTGCAGATGAATATGGATGCTGTAGATTGTCAAGCAAACAAAACCAATGCCACCCAATATGCGTCTCTTTCTGGCTTCACTGTCAGAGAAGTTAGAACCAAATGAAATGCCCGAGTCTTGGAATCCGCTCCACTCAGGTGCCTGAAACCTTCTTTCTTTTGCTTTCTTCCGCAGGAGCGTTATCCTTAAATGCCTTCTCTCGCGCTGTTTTAATCTCTAAGCTGCCTCAAGTTTTTGAAAGTAAGTAGGATAGAAATCTTATAAAAAGAGAAGCTCCTCTCTGTGTTGAGTGAGAAGCTCTTGGCCTTCTGGATTATAACTCTAGTTCTCCCGTCTGGGTGACCTTGGCTTGGGACTTCACGCTCAAGGAATAATTAACAGCCACCTCACAGGGTTTGCGAAAGGACCAAATAAGAACTGATGCATCCTAAAGCCCCACGGCAGGTGGACAGGCACCATCTCCTGCCCAGGCGTCCTGCTGACCAGGTGTGAAGTTCATGCTCTGTACTTACTCGGCTGCTACCCACCTCGGCCACTTCTGAGTAATAGTAACAACTTTCTGCTTAAATGTGGAGCCTTCTATTTATCATTCACCTTCCTGTTTTAAGCGAATGTAACTGATAAAAAGTTATCACCGTGTTCCTGTGATTCTAATCATGAAGGAAGGTGATAAGCGCAGCAGCCCAGCCCTTCACAGACCCTGCATGGGCTGTTGCGCTATTTTCAGAGCTTGGCACTGTTGGTGCTTCTGCGCCACAGGCCCTTGGCTGGCAGTGAGGTTTCACATTATAACTACAGGGAATAGGACTAGGAAAGGCTCTTTTTCTTCTTGACGTGGGAAATATGAACTTAGGTACCGAGGAAGAATATCCACCTTCCTTCAGCATCAAACAGTAAAACCCCAGAGGCTCTGGGAAAAGTCAGACACAGTACAATGACTTTGAAGGGAAATCGTCCATTTTTAGAATAGCTTGATTCTCACATTCCTTGTGAGAAAGTTAATGAAGAAATGGCAAGGCAGGTCCTGCTCCCTCCAAGGCTGTGGCCAAAGTCCGTGGGATGATGTGGCTCTTTGACTCTGAAAACAGGCTCCAACCCGACTTGAAGGGAGGGCATTTGGGATTCCAGAGCTGTGGTTATCCCAC